TCGATCCATCGACCTCTGGGTTATGGGCCCAGCACGCTTCCGCTGCGCCACTCTGCTATAGGAAGATGACCGTCCGATTAAGCAATATTAACAGGCTTTAGTATATTGTGTGATCTGAATTGCTGTTCATTAAGAAAATATATAGTCTCTCTGTCTATATATATGATTACATATTTTCGCTGCTAATATGAAAGATAGAATTTTTTTTACATCGTGCTCTTATGTCAGAGTTTTCAAGCGATCAATAGCAGCAAGACAAAGACAAAAAAAAAATCGTTAACAACTGCTTTGTGTTTATTGAGTTTCTACTAATTATTTTCAAATGTTGTGAGGCGACTATCAGAAGTTTTGAGATAATCTTTTTTGTATTATGAGACCAAGGGGCAATTTAAAAGGAATTCAATTAAATGCACGCATTTTTCTATGGATATTTCGGAATAGCTTCACAGATGCTGCTGAATTGTGCAAATAAACTAAACAAACAGATCAATATATGAAGTACCTGCATCTGGCTGCCTGCAGAGATTCAGTGCAGATGACACTAAGATGTTCCAGGTTTTTCATTTTTTTTTTTTTTTTTGCCTTCTTCTGGCTTCTCACATCCCGGAGATAAACACAGTCTGTCTTTTTCACTTTTTCCCGCCCTGTGTCAGATTGCGGCAGCATAAAAGTCAGACAGCTGACAGGAAATGCTGTTTCTAGTTCCCACACAGGGCTGGAGTCACCAATGGCCACGGCCTTGGAGCTGTTCTGTATTATTGAGTTTGTTGTTTTTTCATGTCCTTGTGCCAGGCTAGCTCTGCATGTGCCCAGTCAACATTATTTATTATCAGCCTGTGTGCTAAGAAATCACCTGTTATTGTATCAGGCTGGTGATTCTTTAATGACAAGATAGAATCCCCTTCAGGACATTTTGTTTCCCGTGAGGAAGCTCAAATCAAGCCTGCGATCTTGTTTTTGAGTTTCAACATCATGGGAGTGTTCCATAATTTTAAAGAAAGAAAGAAAGAAAGAAAGAAAGAAAGAAAGAAAGAAAGAAAGAAAGAAAGAAAGAAAGAAAGAAAGAAAGAAAGAAATGGTTTTCATTCACACTAGCAGCTCTGTGAGACTGGGCATAGTCCCAGCAGTGAATCTAGCATGATAACATACAGATTAGACAAATGGGAATGTCATTTGTTTTGCAGGTATTTTGTCATAAACAAAATCACTGGACAAATTGAATTTCTGACCTGATGATAGTGCTAGACAACAAAGGAGACGAGATATTGTTACAGTGCCAAAAGAATCCACAATATACATGAAATCAATTTGATTTCAGTCAGCACTTCTGCACTCAAAAGACTATATTTTATATCTGATCTGCAGTGATATATATTTGGAAATGGTTTATTCAGAGACTTACAGAGAGCACAGCTGTTTCTGGATAATAGAGTCTATTTTTGTATGCTCATAGAAGCAAGACAACAGAGCAAATCAGGCAGGAGTGATGACAGATTTGACCTTAGTGAAGTGAGTACATACATTAAAAGGAGGATCTGGGGTAAAGTGGGTTGCTGATACAGCATAACAGCATTGTAGGCTAAAGAGTTAAAAATATCACACCCTATATGAGCCTATAATTGCCAGCTGTTTAGAAGGGAATTATGTGACATAGCACTGAAGTGAACTGCTGGGATTGCAGTTGAATGTCGCCACATAATTTGCTATTGAGCTCAGGTAAGGTCAACACCTCTTGTTCTTCGGTCCTTAAACTATTTCTAACCAGTTTTTGCAAGTGTGGCTTAGACAGGCCAACGTTTGCGGAGTGCTGGTGTCTTGAAGGTGGAGGTTGTCCCTAGGTCTGTAACAATGCTTGACTCAGCTGTGAAATCTTCCAGTTTATTTCAGCAGTGTCTTTCTTATTAATGTGGCTCTATCTGCCTCTATGATTATGATAACTTTTCCCTCACTTTTTACTTAATGTAAGACCAACGTAGTTCATGTGTGGCGTGTAAAGAGGTGAGTACTCAGCATAGGTAATTCTTGAGAGATCAAACACCAGTTTCGGGATGCCAGTGTTCAAGGCGCAAAGTCAGTAGCTGGACTTCTACGGCTTGAGTTTCTCTCTTATCACAATGTAGAGATTTTTCTAAATCTTGTTCCCACTCAGCAGTTCATTGAGCTGAGCTGAGTTTCAGGCTGACAGAACCACAGTAATTAAAAGCAAGTAATGCTACTGATAAACTCACATCAGTCCCTGTGATTGATATTACCCCCGCTCTACAGTTGAGCTGTTCTCAGTACTTAGATTAGTTGAATCCCGTTGCATAAGCAGACTGAGAACACACAAAACTGATGCAGCACACAGGTGGAAGACTTTTTCCATCCTGTAATTTTGCCTACACATGTCCTTCTATGTGTTAAATCAGTTAGCAAAGTCACTACTTACGTCTAAAAGGCCACACATTTTATAACCTCAATCAAAGAATGGCCGTCAGGACAAAACAGAACTTGCTGTTGCAAAGTCTTTGTAATGATGGGATACCTATAGCACTGGAAAGGACTGAAAAAGAGCAGTACTGACTGTCTGGTCAGAACACAAAAATAGTCTCCCCATCTCTTCCTTTGTTTGTTTCATTGTGGTGTTACTAGGAGAACATTTATTGAAATGACTCACGCCTCTCCTTAAATTCATTAGATCCACTTATTGGATAAGTGCTATGCCAGAGAGAGCAGTGCCATCCCACACATCCATCCATCCAGTGTGCTGACCTGCCACAAGTCATTTACAAATTACACCATGGCACTATAAGTTCATTCAGTCCTACACACACCATACTGTCTTTATGAATCAGTGTTCTATATCTGATACAGCAGCTCCTCAGTCCTGCGTTATTGCTTCCTTTCCAACTTTCTTTTTGCTTAAGCAGAATTTCACATTTCGTTGTTTATTTTCATCATCATTGTATTACTTAACCATCTGCGTGTGGCTGGAAATTTAAAGTGCTGTGAGTTCAAATCGTGTCTCTGTACACTGCCAATACCGATATAATTTCATGGAGAGGCCTCTTTCAACTTCTTGAGATTTTGTTGTCATCATTCGCTACGATTGGCTCATCTGTTTCGAAACAATGAAACCAGTGATGGATTGAATTTGAATTCCCCGTCAGACTGAAATTTTACACTGTTCGAGAAATAAGCAGAAAGATCATTTTTATGGAACACTTCAGGTTAATGCTATTACTTAAATAAGATTGAAGATGAATTTGAATATGAAACCTTTTCCCTTGGTAGTTTTGCAGTCTGCGTAAATGATCAAACTAGTGCTTCCTGCAGGAGTAAACCTCAGGAACAAGAGTACACTATGACTCATTTCAGATCTGCCACCTACTTCCTCTCCCTACATTTGGTGCTAATTATGTATCCGAGTGATGGATCTGACATACTAAGTGCTGTTCCTAACCAACTAGGCTTCAGACTGCTCTCAGTACGGTAGCTTCAAATTACAAGAGTACAAATGAGCACTACCTGTCAAGTGTACAGCAGCAGTACCTTAGAGGGTATTGCCTCAGTGGCAAGCTGTTGTACCCAAAATGAAATACTTCATTTTCTGAGTGTTTTTAAACAGCCTCAAAATGAAACATCTTTTAATTATTGTGATCTCAAAAGAAATTCACTGCAGTTCTTTGGCTGCATCACCTTCCACATGCAACACTTTTCATTCCACTAGTGAAACTACACTGCACACTTATGACAGTGTTGAACCTTCATCCCCACTAAACATCACATACTGTCTGGAAGCCTCCAAAAGATCAAAGCACAAGCATGAAACCGAGCTGCTGTGCCTTATATTAAAACATATAAACTAAAAATTACCATTAAGTGAGGCACCAAAAGATTTGTAACACCTGCTCACTCAGTTTTTGCTTTCACTACTTTGAGCTGCTGCTCTTTACTATCGTCCCGGTCTCTCAGATTAGCTCACCACCTGTTCAATTTCACTTATTTAACTAACCCGCAAGAATGGATTTCAACTATAAGATGTTTATATATTGATGTTGCCTCATTTAGCCTAAATGATAGCCCGTCTTGTAAGACCACCAAACTCATGGCACCATGATTACTATCAGACGGTAAGTAAGCAAAAGGTAAATAAGTCTGAACCATTTCAAGAACGTTTCTTTAAAAGTAGTTCCAAAAATCATCAAACAGTGTGATAAAACTGGCTCTCACATCACTACAGGAAAGAAAGATCTGAATGTTCCCCTTTTTCCGTTTTTGCTGTAGATAAGAGGATAAATTCATTTCAGTTACCAGCCTCAGAAATCACCAATTAAATTTACTCCAGGTAAGAGTCGATAAGCAGATAAGCAGCAGACACATCAACATTAATTGTCTGGAATAGACTGTGGCAATCAGGCAAAATAAAAAAAAAATAAAAAAGGGACACCATGAGGTGAACACTACACCAGTGAAAATGGTCTAATGAGCCGAAATTGTTGTATTTGTAAGGCACAGAGAGGATGAAGATGGTAGTGTGGCTTTTGCATTGAAGCCTGGATGAAGAGGCTCAAGTTTGACTGCTTTAAAAATAAAAACATTTGTGGCTACATTTGAACTGTTTTGCACAAATTTCATATTCATACACATACATTTAGGTATAACTTGAAACCATGAACTACTACTAAACTATGCGCTTGGATTGCAGAGGACCAAGAGTTTGCTGGAAAGACATTTGGAGTCTTGATGGTGCTGTTGCAAATGTAAAGAGCGGGGCTCTCTTCTGACATGTGGTTTGATATGAATGACTCATAAAAACATCCTATAATAGGGAGTAAATTACCAGTGAAACTCCAACAGCAGCTCCGGTGCGTCAAACTATAAAATATTCACGATGAACATTGAAAAAAAGTATGTTGAAAAAAAAGTGTACCGTAGTAAGTTCAAAGCTATGTAATAAAGGCAACAAACAGTATGCACACACACACAAACACACACATATAGCTTCATAATCTTTAATAACTTATTTATCAGTAATAGGCACTTGAGCTGCCAAACATTTTTCTGTAAGTACATTTCAACAATAAGAACGATTTATTGTAATTCATGTAGGTCATTAATAAGCCTGACACCTATCATTTAAATAAACTGAGCAGTTGCATTAACATGAAAACCCACAACTACAACATAAAGCTGATTTATTTTTCTTTCTTTCTTTCTTTCTTTCTTTCTTTCTTTCTTTCTTTCTTTCTTTCTTTCTTTCTTTGCAAAGTAAACACAAACTGTTCCATAATGTGAACGGGAGATATACAAGTGGGTTTGAAATTCCTCCAGATTCTTTTCACACTCAGCAAAGCACAACAACACTGATGGATTAAAGTGTGGCCAGACCTAGTTTTCATTCCTACAGCTGACTCAAAAACACTGAAATTACAAAGTCAAATCACATAATTCAAATGTTTTGGATTGAAAACAAATAAAAACAGCAAACCAAAAAGGCACATAAAAACAAAGCAAAATCTGTAGCTTTCTTTTCATTTGGTGGTTGCTGAACAAAGCACAATGTACAGTTGGACTGCTTTAAATGCAGTTTTAACACACCCTTGCTCTGCTCTGCTCTGCAGTGGCAGTTTCCAGAGACAAACTGCTGCCATTCGAGCTGGAGTGCCAGTATCAACCACATGCATGGTGCCTACTTTATACTCCAGTACTTCAGGTCTGCATGGATGGCTATAGTTTCTCGTACAACACAAAGTAAGAGACTGCAGCCATGCTAACAGCTCTGTGAGCCCGAATTTAAGGCACAGCATTGTTGTGAGACAGGTGCTAATACTACTGTAACATGCTCACAATGACAACGCTAAGGTGTAGTTGCTAAGAAAGAATAATGATCACCAACTGTTTTAGTTTGGCTTGTTAAACAGCGCTAAATATATGCATACAAAACAAACCAATGTAGCCCCCAGAGTGAACATTTGACCTGATACTGGTGATCGATCTTGGAGTTTTGTAGACATTTCCTTTAAAATCACAAATGTTAATCTGTCATGGTTGTTGGTTTTTGTTACAACATCTTATTTTTTCCTCGCTTTGCTGTCCTGCAGTTCTCTTTTTCTGTTCTTTGTTTCTTTGTGCAAATTATTTGCATCTCTTTCAGCTGTCTTGATTCACTTCACCTGTGTCTTATTGTCACTTTCCTTTTTGTGCATTTAGTCTGTGTGTTTCCTTCAGTCATTGTCATCTCGCTTTGGTTCTTTCCTTGTCGCCATTATTTTATCATTTATTTAGGACTTCCTATCACTTAGATTTGTCCTATTTTTAAATAAACTTGGTCCACTATCATTGAACAAAAAAGGAGAAAAAGGCCAAACAAAAAACGGAATTTCTCATTTGCAATAAAAATTATATATTTTTTTCTTTGAAAGAGCTCTGTCTTTATGAAGGCCTGATTGGGAGTGGCAGGAGCAGCTAGCCATTGCTGCTGCACTGCACAAACATATACGCACCCAGCCATTCTTTAGTGACAATGCTGGGTGACAAGTGTGGTGGTTGTAATGGTTACGCTTCACTACAGTAAACAAACACAATGCTGACTGGCAAAAGTGCAACAGTTTTTTTGAACGTACTGTTTGGCAAGAATTGCACATGTACTTTAGCTCTCATAGCCGGGGTCGTGAGTGTTATGTGTCAATGTTCCATGAGAGAAATTGGCATAAAAGTAACCCATGTGTGAAAGACAAAAACCATTTTAAGAGATTGACAAAGCCAGTAATGTTACCTGTCACATGCTTAAAAGGACTTACAAATAAAAAATGTCTAAAATGTGTAAAAAAAAAGAAGGCCGACAGGATTCGGTAGCAGTGAGATGCTTCGGGTTCATTTTAACTCAGAGTTCAACCCTCTCTTTATTGACTGTCTCTTCACCTGTGCTCACTGTGTTTAGAGCCACCGTGTTAAATGAGAAGAAATGGCTCAAATAAATCAAACACACAGCATGTGGGCAAACTCAGTGCGCCCCTCGCCCCCACCCCAAACCCCCCGTTATTTGAATGAGTCAATGAGTTTGTTTGTTTTTTCTCCCCTCAAGGTCCATGTTGGGGTTACTTATCATTTAAAGAAATTTTTTAGAAGTAAGCTCATCCATCTAAAGCCATTTCAAACTGTGGATTTTAAATAATGTGCAATCAACATTTTTCAGTAAATATATTCTTTTGAATACTCACTGCTGGTGATTTTCCAGCATACAAATATTCAACTATCCATAAAGTAGCAGCCTGTAATTGTACTGTTTAGTTGTATTCCTCCAAGCAGCCTTTTGGGACAGGCAGCAAAATAATGATTTCCAATCAGAGGTTTTGCTGTCTCTGTTGATTAAGTGGAACAATAACTTCTGGGTTTCAGTGCAACAAATAATAGTTGTGACTCTTCAAACTAAAAGTAATACATGCAAAAGGTTGCGCCATCAAAATCACATTTGCATCTTTGGCTACATTTTTAATCAGCTGAAACCTTTTCAGTTTGTTCTTTTTCTAAAGCAGGAAAAATTTGTCTCAGGGCTCAAACAGAAATGTTTGCATTTGTGTTCTGTTGAATCAAACATGACAAAATGTAACTATGTGGAGATCAAACTTCAGCTCAGCCTGGATTGTTATAATGCAGAAAACTATAGTGGAGTGGTGACAGGTAGGCGGCCAAGAAACACCAAGAAATAACTCTGGCTAAGCAGGACCCTCCACTTTGACAGACGTAACCGTAGCCAAGAAACAACGTTGGAAAAGGCGGTCAGGGTCCGGGGGTTGGTTGTCACAGTCCAGCCTGCCTCTCAGGAAATGTTTCCTGAGGCCTTGGGGACCAGGTGGGACACTGCTGTTACTGGGCCCTGGTGCTTGTGGGCTAGATGTAGAACCTGGAAGAAGAAGTTCACGGACAAGAGAAGAAATGATAAGGCTTGTGGTTCCACTTAGTACCATTTACTATGATAACGCTGATGATATCTGTAAAGTGAAATCAGAGACTACCTGTTCACCAGGGAAACAAGATCACACTTTCAGCATGATGAGGTAACTGTCCATAATATTGCATGGCTACTGGCTGTCAACAAGAATGACCAAAATGCATGATCATTTAGACAATCTTTATTTAAGCATCAGTTTTCTAAGTGATCCAATTTAGGGTCATGAGGGTGCTGGAGCCTACAAAGAGCAAGATGCCCAGGACAGATCACCAGTCTTTAGAATCACCCATTAACCCAGCATTCATGCCAGATTACCCGACATGGGAGGGAGAACATTCAAACTTTACACAGAAGTGGAGTTTTTTTGTTGGATATTGCAAATTCATGTGTTTTCTTTGCTATTTATGTGACACAGCATGTGAAAAGCCAACCAAAGACATGTTTGTTATCCTAACTTCAAATTTTATTTGTTACATACACAATTCGCAGTACAACATGCAGTGAAATGCTTGTCCAAGCAGACAGGCTGCAGGCGAGGCCACGCCATCTCAGGTCTACCCAGTTGCTGTAGAGATCGTTGTGTGTTAACGCAGTGTGCCAAACTGGCAACAACTTCACTGTCCACAATCACTCTCACAGCTATGTCAGAAAAATATGGCTAACTGAACACTTGATGACGCATAAACTGCAAATAAACAGCACATTATTTTGTCTCAGATATTCCCCTGCTCAGCACAGGCACAGGAGTAACCTGTTGAGTCAGCCAGACAACTTTAACACTATGTGAGTTGTGATCAGTGGACTGTTTCTTGATAACCCAGTGGCATTTGTAATTAGAAGTTTGATCATTTACAAATGTGTTACAAGTTACTATTTATCTCTTTGCACTGTTACTAAACCACAGTAATTCAAAGAGTTTACATAGTGTGACATCTTCAAGTTACAAATTTACAGAAAATAAAGAAAGAAATCTGTTTTCACATGACTTAAAAAAATTAATACATTGTGGACTTCAACCTTGGCTAATGATAAATTACCAGAGAGTATTGGGAACATCTTAATCCCCCATCTCACCCCTTAATGTTAATCTTGTTTGAAACGTTAAGCCTTAAATTGAGCTTTCCGACTGAGTTAGGTTATACGGCCTCTACAGATATCACTATAAAATGCAAATATTTCTTTTTCTGACTGCAATGCCACCTGTGTAAAGTGAGCGGACGGACAGAGTTTCTGATATACGTTTTGAATGCCCTGCACACCCACACCAGTGCTGTCAATTACTCTGGCAGACTGGACCTCCATTCAAGTGGAAGATTGGAATTACACGATGTCCCCAAACTTCATCGACCAATTATAATGACAGCAGTGTCTAACAGGTACAACAAACCCCACAGCGGGGTGAATGAAAGAGCAGGTTGTAGATGTGTGTGAAGACCTGTGCAGAAATCTAATGAGGCAACTCGAGTGAAAACAACATTAAAGATATTTAATAATTTATATGCATGAGCAAAGCCGAACGGCACAGGAGACAGGGGTTACACACTTTGTGCACTTCGCGTCTGCTTGTGGAATTAAAGCTTTGTTTGGAGCAAATTATTAGAATGACAACATGTCTCTTTCTTAAATTCAGAACTCCATCCCCATTGTTCTTTGTTCAGATTCAGTTTCTGACCTGAGACAGGTAGCTTTAATATCTGAACACGCACACATCTAAATCTTCAAAGGGACTGCTATAATGCACACAAAAAGTTCAAACTAAGAATCTTAGACCTGCCAAATCAACAACAGGGTTGAAACAACGATGAACATATCAACTCATTTTGAGTAGAACAAAACAAAAGACATTAAAAACTATGAAATAACACATAGGAAACAAAGTTTTTAAGAAAAAGTGTGACATATTTTAAACAAAAACAGTCCATAAGTGCATGCACATTAGTTAATCTGGAAAATTTCAGGAAACTAAAAGTGTCACGGTCCTGAGTCTGTGGACTCAGTGTTTTTCTGTTTGCATTAGTTATCTTTGTTTTCATGATGTGTTTTGATTCTCTTGGGTTTGATTTCTGTCACTGTATCCCCTAGTTTAGTCCACGTCTGTTCAGTTTCCTGTTTTACTTTGAAAGTCTGTGTACTATGTCAATGTGTTGAGTTTTGCCTCCCCTTGTCTTGTCATGTCTGATGAGTCCCAGCTGTGCTCTCCTCCTGTTTCACATTCCCTAATCACCTCAGTATGTATTTAAGCCCTGTGTTTTTCCCTGCCAGTTGTTGCGTCCTCCACGTTTGTTGTGTGTGTGTATCCATGGTCGTCTTCCTTCAGCATCTCCTGTCTAGTTAGTTTAAGTTGTTGTTTATGTATCGTCCAAAGGTGACTCTCCAGCAAATAAAGCCGTCGTTTAAGTTAATGTTTTGTCTCCGAGTCCTGCACGTGGGTCCAGCCACTGACAGTCACACAACTCATCGTGACAAAAAGCACAGATGCAAAACTATCAAGAAGTAGAAAAGAAGTGCTAAGACCAAGGAAGACAGGAAAGAGATATTAGATTAGTGAAAACCTGATACCTGCATGTGTATTTTCCACCCTGAAGCATGGAGGAGTGTGATTCGTGTGATTATGGATATCTGGTTTAAGCAGCATATTTTAATTCACAGCAGACACTGATTAACATCTCTCCAAACTTGGAAGCAGAATGATGCCAATTTTTTTCAATATATTGTTTGGTCAGAAGATTTTTTGCATATTTCCTGAATATGAAGGGAAGGCTTGAAGCTGAACAAATACATTTATAATAACAACACCAGCTACATGAGCTGGAGTCATCACAAAAACATGCAAGTCTAATAAAGCATGTGAACAGAAGAAAAAACTAACTTGACTTAACTTAACTTCTGTCTTGGCGATAAAGTCTGTTATTCACTCTATTTTCAGTTTGTTTTTATGTCTAATAAATAGTGGGATGAACATGTAGGTCATAAGATAAGATAAGATAAGATAACCTTTATTAGTCCCACACGTGGGAAATTTGTTTTGTCACAGCAGGTCATATTATTATTGTCATTATTAATTAACTGTCTGTTTTCTGGTCCTGCATGCATAACAAAAATGGATTTACCAGAACCTCTCTTAAGGACAGCACAAGCTCTCCAAAAACAATTGCTGAAGACAGGAGTGAGAGTGACCGTGGTAAAGCTGTGAGTCATAAAATCAAAACAATGTGCACAGTGAGGCTTAAAAGACTTAAAAATTATACTGTGGCCATTTCTCAAACAGCCCACATGAATGAAAAAAAATAAGCTCTAACTTATCTTTCAAAATATCCACCCAAACCCTCCCAGAGTCGTACAGTCACAGCTCCACAATTGTGAGGCACAACATGGAAACCATTTTACTGACACTTAAAATCATTTGGAAAGAAATCCAGACAGAAAACTTCTAATTGCCCAAACACAAACTTGAGCCAAATCAAAACTGAATTGGAGATAGCGGTTACAAAACACCTGCTCTAAAACATTTCAAACACAGCTCCACCAAATGTAATTTTCTGCAAACATTTTTTATCTAGTACAAGGCTGCCTCCTCACTCAGCAACAAAGTTCGGCTGTCTTGTCAAAGAAGGTTTTCCAGTTTTTTTTGAAAGGAAATCATATCAGGTTCTTTTAGCATTCCTAAATGCCGTGTTCTTGGTTTTTCATTCAAAATACTTCTTTGGAGTAGCACACTGTAAAGGTCACAAATTTGAGATAAAACTTTTGAATATTCAACTGTAACATCCACCCACACTCTGTGGCTGATGCATTCTACAGTTTAATGCTTCAGTAATTAAGAAAAAAAGCAAAATGTTTTGTTTCCAGATCAAGAAACGATCCAAAGCAAAGCATCTCTCATTGGTTGTGTAGTAATAACTTTTGTGCTTATGAATATATTCATCAGAAGTCTTTTGGGATTTTTTCTTGCTCATCAAGTACATTAATAATGTCTATAATAAAACAAAAAGACTGGCCATAAACCAAGGCAAGGCAAGAAATTAGCATTATTTTAATAATAAATAGAGAAGATACCAATTGACGTATTTCAGAACCTTTGGCTCTGACTTTGTCAGAGGCCCAGTTCTACTTAACTCTGTGTATTTTATTGATATGTTAGCAGAAAGTTTAACTCTGTACCTGGTGCTCGCAGCGGCAGTCCATTGTCCAGACCTCTGGGTTTGGTGGTGATGAACAGATAGCAGAGGACACACAGAGTGATGATGAAGGCGAGAAGAACCACAGCTGCTATTGAGAGACCCATGAGGGCTCCGAGACTAGAAGACACAGAACAAAGACACACCAGAAAAACACTTCCTGGTTACTGTAGCTCAGAGAGGTAACAATATTGCTGATGGCTAGAAATGTACAGGATGAACAACATCAGGCTGTCAATTTTGGCTCATCCATGGTTACCCAGTTCACACAAACTACCAGACTACTTATTTTGTTGGCCAGTCCTGGTTACAAATTTTGCCATTGTGCTCATATGAGAGGAAAGTTAAACAAAATGCAAACTCTTAAACTAATGTCGCTTGGCACACTGAGTAAGCTGAGATGTAGAGGAGGACAAGGATCATTTACTAGGAGTAATGATCATTAATCATTAATTTCTTTAAGAGATCAATATGGAGGCTAATGTGATGGGGAAATGTCTGCTTGTCTGGTATGTGTACACCTTATCAAGAGTCACTGCTTGAAATTTAGCACTGTCTGTTCTTTTTTATATTTTCTTCTTTGTTCCAATTGTGCATTATTGATAGAGAGTTAAGAAAAATAAGTAATCATTTTGGGTACACCTTCACAATCATCCCTGCTTCTTTTCATCGCATTTTGAACACCTGCTATTTTACTTTCGCACAAATATGGATACAGGCGTTTTGCTTTAAGCACCTGGATGGAGTCTCATGTAGGTCAGAAATTTGAGTTTGGACCACTGCAGACTCCTCAGCCTCATTTTCAGCTCATTCAGTTCTCATACCAACCTGGCAGCAGATCATTATTAGGCACTGATGCTACGTATGCTACGGTTTTGTTAAGTGTCAAACTGTGGGTTCAGAATTTGGCAGTTTTGAATATTTGCAAATTGTTTTAAAAATGTATGTAATTATGAATGCAGAAAAGAATTGTTAGATTTAAATCCACAATACAAAACTATCTGGAAAGCATATGGTTGATTCTGTTCATCTGAATGTAATGTTTTCAACAGTACAGTTTGGACTGTTTATAAGATTGGGGAAACCTGCAGTCAGCTGAGACTGAAGAAGTCACTTGGATGTTTCTCCCATTGAAAACGTTACATTACTACCTGGATGATTGAGCATGCATCAAAATATCTGGAGAGCATCTAACTGCTAATGGCTTGTTTTTCAGTGTGACAATGTTCCCAAACAATTGCCAATGCCATAGAAACATACCTGAATAGAATAGTGTTTGTTGGGCAGCTTAGATAATGTCACTTCAGAAAAGAATATAGCCCATATGGTTTTCACTGCCCTATGCACAGCCAAGAAAACAGTCCTCATGAACTGGAAAAATAAAAATAATCTTAATTCTAACCAATATAGAAATTATCTATTAGATTACATTAGTCTTGATACAGCCTCTGCCACCACATCAGATCAATTGCTCTGGGCTCCTTTGATCAGCTCCATCACCTAGTGGGGGTGGGGGGTCATAGTTTGGTCCTGCCTTCACTGTTGTGATTGGTGTGGGGGTAGGGACAGGCTTAGGGTGTCGGGGGGTTCCCCGGAGGCATCTTTCTTGGGGGGCTCAACCCGGGGTAGCGGTCATGTCCAATTAGGGGCTCTGTTTGCTCTCAGGTGACGGTTTCCTCGTGGCTGCGTGCAGCGGGGCTAGGGGAGGGTCTGTGCTGACGGATGTGGGTTACTGACCTGGTAGCCTGGCTGCCCCTGGGTGGGTCCGGGATGGGCGTGAGGTTCTGGGGGCGCTCCGTCTCTGGGCTGGGGCCCTGGCCGGGCCTCGGGGGCTTGGGTCCTGGTTGGTGTGTTGCCGGGGTTGTGGGCAGGTGGGTGCATGGGGGCCCAGCCCTGGCGCAGGGTGCCGCCGGTGTGTCGAGCCACCTGAGGGGCTCTTCAACTGGTGAGGGAGGTTGTCACATCTTGCAGGAGCTTTCCTCTCTTCAGGAGCTGCCTCTGCAGGAGGGGGAGATACAGGAGAGGTGGAGGAAGATCTCAGCCTGGGTGTTTATTGTCTTATGTAGTCTGGAAGATGAGTGGATGGTGGGGTGGGTGCAGTTTTCTCTGTGGTGGGATTGGGTGGACTGTCCCGGGCTCTGTGGGGCCGGGAGGCGCTGCTGCACTGGGCCCCGGTCTGGATGGGCCTGGGCCCCCTTTCCCTGGCGGGTCGCGGAGTATGGGAGTGCCTACTGGGGTCAGCGGGGGAGCTGGCCCCAGGGAGGGGTCACTTGCCCCTCCCTTCCTTCCCTCCCCATCTCCATCTGCCTCCCTCTTCCCGCTCCACCAAAACCACCCACACATGCAGGACCTTGGAGTAGGGGTATGTCACCAGGGTGCAGAGGAGGCTACCCCCCCTCTGTCCCCTTCTGGCTGCCTCTGCCTCAATTTTATCCCACAACTTAGACATTCACATTACTCACACTCTCATTACGCATACATATAGGATCTTGGGGGTGGGCACGATACACGGATTCCAAAAGACCATCAGGGTGTACAACCCCACCCCTGGCGTCGTTGCCCACCTCTCAATGTTAAATACACGTAGACATTGAGGGCTATCAGGAGGGACTATGCGCTTACCTGCTGCTCTCTGGCAGGTAGCTCCAAGCCCTCCTGGGTTTTAATTGCACCTTAGAACACACATGCATCAACATTACAATGAGCGGGTGGAGGGAGGTTTGGAGTCTTCTCTCACCCCCGTTCTCTGCGGCCTGCTGGAGCGGGGGGGCTAGAAGGAGGAGTTGGCCGTCCGACTGCGGTCTGGAGTGTGGGGCCTCCCTGCTGCTGCGGAGTCGGGGCGGTCTGCCTCCCCCCACCGCAGGGAAAAGGGTAACACCACCTGGGTCTGGGTGCAATTCCCCCCTCCAGGGGCAAGGGTACCTAGACCCGGTTCGTAGAGTAAGCTTGGGGAGTGTGATCGTGTGTACAGCGTCTCTTTATGTCTGTCTCCACGTTGGTTGAGTGTGGAGTAAGTGCATATGAGAGCATGAGGGTGGGAATGGATGTTTGTATCTGTGTGTGCCTGTATTTCTGTGTCTATATGTCAGGTTGGGTGTCAGGCGCCACCTCTCTGGGGACATCTCAGGCCCTCCAAGGTTTGGAGGCCTATCTCCCCCCACCACCACTTCCCCTGCCAGTGGCGGACTCCCTCAGACATCGGTGCGTTGGTGGTTCTTTGTGTCCGGGGATGGGCGTCCAGGTACACACCGGCTCACTCCTTGGCGGCCGCTTATCGGGGCCTGGAGCCTGGGGCTCACTCGGGCCACTTCGGAGGTGGGGTGCCCTCGGCCACTCGGCTTGGGGCTCAGTCACTCAGGCGCAGCTGGCTGCCGGCGGAGCTCACGGGCGCGTAACTGCAACTCCCCCTGGCTTCTGCTCCGCGGCTGCTGAGTGAGCCCTCATCTGGGACTCTCCTCAGATCTTTCTGGGACAGTGGCGCGGCTGCCCCTCTGTTGGTCTTCCTTGGTCTCTTGTGTTCTGGGGGCCTCTGGATGTCTGGAGTTTTGATCTCCTCCATACCTGCTTCATGCCCTGGAGGACGGGGCTGTGGCCCCCCCACACCCTCTAGCAGATCATTACATGAAGGAACCTTTTAAAAAAAACAAGCACGTCCATGCTCACAGGTGTACACACGGGTGATCACACCCACAAACTACACCCTTTTTGGCTCCTACCTCAAAGCACACTGTGTTCTGTTGATCTTATGTGCTGCACAATAATGTTTAATATTTAGTATTTACTGTCATATTCCCATATATCATTGTGATGATGTCTATTCTATTACTCTTGTTCTCTTCTGCTTATTTTCTTTTTTCTTTCTCAACAGGTGATCCAGGTGATTGATATATGCATTTTTTATTTCTTTTTTTTTTTTCCTGCTCATTCTGTTGGTTTTTGTCTTTTGCCCTTCTCCCCCGTCCCTCTTCTCAGCTGTTTCTCTTTCCCTCTTTCTTTCTCCCCTTCTTTCCCCCAGTCAAGTCTGTCCCGTATTCAGCAAGTGAAAATAAAATAAACAATAAAAGGTGAATCAAATGGACCATTACGGCAAGGCTGGGATGGTCAATTTGGTAAAGTAAATCTGTTGGGCATCTTTCTTTGCCTTTAGACAACAATTCTGATGGCAAAAGAGCCAAACGGGACAGGCAAAAAAAAAGAAAAAAAAGAAAAGAAAAACCAATAATAGCCTCCCCATGTCATGACTGAGGGTCTAAGACCCTGAGTTTTACATTTTTAGACTTCTTATCTTGCACTCCAGTGGACTTCAGGTAGCATGAATGAATCATTTGGCTTCAACGCTATGGTTCATAACTCTTACACTACTGACATATCCCATAATTTTTTTCAATGCTCCTTAAGTAAATCAATGTTGTCCCTTTTGTCTTTTCTATTTGTGCTCTACTTCCAGTAGTACAGGATGTTTTTCTTAGTGAATGGAGTGATTTTCCTTTATTTTTTTGGCCTTCTTCTTAATGCATTCTGTTAAGGACTTATTGAACCTATTATTAAACCTATTGCATTAAACCTATGAGACACAAGCAGAGTGAAAAAAGGACTAATTCTGAGAAACAGCAAATGCAATAAAATTCACTAATTCAGAATACATGTAGCCTCTGCTTATGCACGCTATAAAGCAGTGACTCTGAATCTCAAACTTAACCTCACAGCACTGTTAATATCAGTACCATGGTTAATAATAATGGATTGGATTTCTATAGCAGTTTTTAAGGCACCCAAAGCGCTTTACAATGCCACTATTCATTCACTCTCACACACTGGTGGAGGCGAGCTACAGTTGTAGCCACAGCTGCCCTGGGGCAGACTGACAGAAGTGAGGCTGCCATATTGCGCCTCACACCAGTAGGCGGTAGGGTAAAGTGTCTTGCCCAAGAACACAACAACCAGGACACAGAGCCCAGGGATCCAACCGGCGACCTTCCGGTTAAGGATGCGCGTCCCAACCCCCTGAGCCACGGTCGCCCCTGGTTAAAACCAGTTATGAGGTTACTGAGGTCTGGACCTCACAATTAAAGTTTCTGCAGTAAAAACTGCCGTGAGGCGTTGACTTTGATGGAAAATATGACCTTATAGCTCATGAAAATCAGAAATACAATGTCTTAAATTATGAGAATAATTCCTTAAGATCATAAGACCAAAATGTCCAACATCAGAAATGTATATGCATTTATACAGGCAATACTTCGCTTGGGCTTCTTTTTCACAAATTATTTGTGGCAGTTCTGAGGTGTTACTGAACCTCAGGTTAAATTGATAAGGTACCAGCCTTCAGCTCGTCTACATTTATGAGTCAGGTGTTTTTCATCTTCCTTTTAACAATACCCCACAGAGAATCGAAAGGGTTCAGGTCCTGCTACTTGGCTGGCCATGCACAAGCACAGTAATAACATGGTCAGCAATGGCTGGAAATGTCACACTGGACTTCAAACAGCTTAGATTCAGTGCCTTTTCCTCCAGACTCTAGGATTTCCAAATTTAATCAGCCTGCCCAAATTCTTGAATAGATTTTTCTTGACAATTCTCAAGGCTGCGGTCTTTCCTGTAGCTTTTGTACATTTTCCTACCAACGTTCCATTAATGTGTTTCAATACAGCACTCCACAAACAGCTAGCCTTTTCAGCAATGACCTTCTGTGGCTTACCCCCCGCCCCCACCCCTGCAGAGCGTGTCAGTGAGCATTAAATAATTAACTGAAAGATTCTAATGTTTACCTCTGCCGATCCATAGAAGCCTCACCCACCTTTTGTCCAAACTGTCTGTTTATTAGTAGCAGCCAGTCAGAGTAAGGCCTTAAAGGGGGGAGGAGCTAAAATGGCTCATTGCAGACAAACGTCGAACGGAAAGGCAGCATCAAACCCAAGAGTGCAAGAAGGAAAATGTGGAGTTGAAAATTAGCATCATATGTCCCCTTTAAGTTTGTTTTTATTTATGTTAGTTAATGGCGTAGCAGGAACTCACAAAATGTGTGGGATTGCACGTGTTGCCCACCCACCAGGCTCTAGCAGCAAATCACCACTGGAAGGTGGCAGTGACATTTTATTTAATATTTGGGAGATGCGTTTTCCATGTTAATGTAAAATGTATTAATGCAAAATCCACATGTTAAACCCGGTTTTGATGCAGAGTCAAATAGAAATAATAATTTTTTTTAAAAAAGAGCTGCCTCTAACGCAAGGATGTCAAACTCTTTTTGCACAGTGGCCCACATACAGCTCACTTTGATCTTAGGTGGGCTGGACTTAAGATCAAAGGGAAACTCCCCTTTCTCTCGGTGTACGGAGGTTTAACTGCACTTTAATCTCTGAGACATCGCAATATAAGAAAAAGAAGTCAACAGAAGTGCAGTGTCAACTGTATGATAAAGAAATGCTGTTTTAGTTGATAAAATTAATCTGTCTGTGCAACTCTTTGGGCTTCAACTGAAATCAATGTGTAGAGAAAAGGTTCTGGTAGTTCATTTATTGAAGCAAATGATTTATGTAAATATTTATATATTTTATTTATTTATTTGTTTCAATTTGAATACACTGTAAACAATGTCTATTGTTTTTTGTTAATTGTTAATCTATTACTTTATTACTGTTGGTGTGTATAAATGGAAAGTGTTTGTCAGCAGAACAATATTGTTAAAAATGTATGCCCTCCTTCACGTTTTCCAAAGATGTCCAGCGGGCATCTTGCCCAGGCTTTTTCTGGCCCCCAGGCCTTTACGTTTGACACCTCTTCTCAAAACTTTTCTTTTTCAACTGAAACACGTCTTTAAAAAACACCTTTGGATGTGCCCCTCGAAACCTGAAAAGGTGCCTCTCAGTTGGAAACACTGTTTATGCAGAACATTTATAGTTAATTAACACATTACATAATTAATTGCAGCATCATGAAAATGCCAGTATATGTATATATGCAGTGTATGCAGGCAGAATGTGAGAACTGATGAAAACCACCATCTTTCCTAATTAACATTTTACTTTACTGTCTGAGAATCCAGAGTATAGAATGTACTTGAAGTAAAAAAAAAAAAAAAAAAAAAAAAAAATCACAGAATAGAAGCCTGATTATTATTCTCTGTTCTCTCCCCCACACTAAAGACTACAAGAACATTTACTACATTCTCATATGAAGGAACAAGATGTCCTAAACATTCGATTTTTGCACCTGAGCAGCAGAGTATGCGAGTTATGCTCTCTGTTTCCTGCATGATGATATGAATGCATACTCTGTGGCTTAAAAGTGTTAAAGCACCAGTGTTTCACTGAAATTCTTATTACATATAATGACATATAATGATGCAGAGTAGCCATATGGTGTCCGCTGTTGGCTAGTTTCACTGACCTTAACTCCCACAGACATGAAAGCATGGATAGATTTTACACATACACAGCTACTGAGATTTTTGTGCGGAACAGGTGATGTTGCACTCTCTTTTGATGATGTTCTTTTCCAAGGTTTAGGTATGTGAATCTCCCCACTGTTGAACAATGGAGGATAATGTAATATTTTACTGTCAAATATTTTAAAAAAGGAAATAGAAAAATAATGGGCTATGAAATATGTTACATTAATTTTGAGAACAAAATAAGAACATAATCACAAATCTTAAATACCCAAAATAGGAAAACTGAAACATGACAATATGGCCCCTCTACATCCCTACTGGCATTGCAAGAGTGTCTAGGTGCTTGGGCTTAATTGACAATTGTCCACAACTTGAATTGCCTATGGCAACTTAATATGGCCACCATGCCATGCCAGTCATGCTCTCTTGGTTGCAGTTGACACAAAGCCCCTGTTTTCCTCCGGGGTCAGCATCCATTTTATGTTGTGGCTTATGAGTCATAACACAAATTGCAGAAATGATCCAATTATGTATAATAACCCTGGGGGCAAATTTTGGTTTAACCATATCTCTTGAACATCAAGCATAGAGGGGCCCCTGAGCACAAAAAACAAAACAAAACAAACAAACAAACAAACAAACTCAACAGTTCTAATTTACTGTTTTAGAAGTTACATCAGATTTGAACATTTACACTTTTTTTTCTTATATTTTTATTTCCGTGTTTCTGATTTCAGTTTCAATTTATTTACTTTAAATGATTAATTACAGTATGCGCGTGCATGCCTGAGAGCAGCGCATAAGTCATTAATTTATCTTCCATCATTTGCTTGCTTGTTTGTGGTACACCTTCATAATTTCCTCTGCACCGTATTGCAGTTAAAACTTCAGATTCATTGAAATTCGTCTCTGCGCTATTAAATTGTTCTAAAGGTTACCCGTGTTCTCTGTCTCAAAACTCCCTCTAGTCTATAGTCTCTCATTATAACAGCCAATTACCATGATTGGAGTTAAACAGACACGAGACGCAAAATGTCATCAGCAAGTTGGCTCTTAAATACAAAGCACTAATAGGAACACTAAATGATTCTGCGCTTTACAACCCATCCACGCGTTTACCTTATATTTCCCTCTGCGGTTCTGTTTAATCCAAGAGATGCCAGAAAACTGGCATCGCATGCTTCCTGCTCTCACTGCGCTCTGGAGATTGCCTGATACATGTTGATTTACATCAATGTCATGTACCATCTATAAATCGGAAAATTCTATGAAACACTCATCAGTGATTTAAGAGTTTACATGCTCTTACCTCAGCCACCACATGTATCCATATTCGTAAGGGAAAAAGCTGTTGGGGTCAGCGCAGCAGTACTTCAAGTCACTGAACCCGCAGCAGTAGAGTGCCGTGGTGTCACCGTCCGCTTTCGGACACGTGAAGTTCTCCACGAGCACGTTTTCTTCGGTGTAGTAACTCTCGCAGTCCGAACTCATGTCAGACGTAAACTGCGCGCACTCGGAGAGCCAGATGCGCGGTGATTAAAACCCGGTTTCATTCCGTCCATTTCCCACTGCCGCAACTTCTCATCACCGTCAAACAGTGTGATCCAGAAGCTGTACCGCACTCACACTCCCTCTCTATCTCCCCCACCCTGTCGTCATGGTACACAGTACATTCGTATAATCCGATCCCCGATATCTTTAACTAATCTATGTTAATGATCAACTACATTACCTAAATGATACATTTGGAAAGATTTACCTAATTAAGTTGCAGTATGCATTCAGGAAGCAGGCAGCTGTTGACCACATATAAAGACAATTCAAAGCTGAGGGCTCTGCCCTCATGGCACAGGTGACAATCAAGTGCGCCAAGCACGTGCCAGATGCATGTCTCTTGTCATCTTGCGACCATAAGCACAGTGGTGGGCTAGGTGAATTGGAAACAATGCATTAATGTGGCAATCATGACCAATCTCCTTCTTACGGCTTTCCTGGTCTGGAAATGCCGTGTGAAAGCGTTTTACATCAAATTAAATCTATCATTTAATCATTTTAACATGAAAGTAAAGCACAATAGCGCTACGATACCAAAACTCTTCTGTAAAAGTGCTAAAGAGACCAAGGTCACAGGGGCGCCTCCAGAATTTTGTTTATAGGCGTGCAGATATGGGGGCCCCTACAAATATTATGGTGGTTTAATAAAAATGGAATTTCCAGTTTTATTATGCTGCTGTCAAATATAGGTTACTTGAAAAATGTGGAAAAAAAGAGAAAAATAAAATAATTATCCATCTAGTTTATTTCCTGCTATTAAAATTGATATCATTATAAAAGTCACCTTTAATAATGCAAAATTGTATCGAACATTTAATATTTTAAAACTGAAGTGCTGACTTGTGTGACATGGTGTGTTACCCAGCTGGAAGCAGCCATTATGAGCTGGTAAACTGTGGTCATAATAGGATGCACATGGTTACAACAACACTGAGACTGTGCCCTTCAAACCATGATTAATTGCAATTAAGGGACGTCAAAGTGTGCAGAAAAAAAAAAATTCCCCACATCAAATCAAATCAAATCAAATCACTTTTTATTGTCACATCACATGTGCAGGCACACTGGCACAGCACATGCGAGTGAAATTCTTGTGTGCGAGCCCCACAAGCAACAGAGATGTGCAAACACAACAACACAAACGAGCAAAATACAAGAATGGCCAACCTGAAACTAATAAATATATGTACAATATATAATAGTGTATGCATTTCTGGATGTGTATACTAAATATTTTCCTACGTGTGTGTGTGTGTGTGTGTGTGTGTGTGTGTGTGTGTGTGTGTGTGTGTGTGTGTGTGTGTGTGTATACACATTTTTACAAATTAAATAGTAAAAAAATAAAATAAAATAATAATAATAATAATAATAATAATAATAATAATAATAATAATAATAATAATAAAATATATAAAATATACAGAGTTGAATATGTGCAAAACAAGTGGCATTTATATACAGTGTGGAGTGCATAATGTTAAAGTTCCAGTAGTGAAGCTGAGGTGTCTATGACGTGTTCAGCAGTCTGATGGCCTGATGGAAAAAGCTGTCTCTCAGTCTCATCACAATCAGCGGCCTGGATTGTTGACCCCGGGCGGGTCCATGGATTGATGCTGTTGTCTGTGTTGTCAAGCCTACTATCTGCAGCAGTCTTTAAAAGTCCATTTTTATTTAGCCTCTGCCCACTGCAGACTCAGGCTTCTGTTTGTGGCTGACATAGTCTTTTGTTTTTTAAGCCCATGCTTCACAAGACTGGATGGATTTTGCATGTGGAGAACCTTTTCTGTTCAGCACTTTTGTAAAGTGAACTTACCTTTCTGTCAGCTCCAACCAGTCTGGGCATATCTCCAATGACCTCTGTCACCTTTTCTTTTCTTGACAATCCACAAAACTGATGATTTTAGGCATAACACACCATACAAAATTGTCACTGTTACGTCATTGCTTCCCAGTGGTCTCTTGTTTTACTATGTGTTATATTTGAACCTGCCTTTTGTCTCACTTTTTTTTGTCTCTTCAAATTTCAGCAGATCTGTATGAGCCATGACTAAAATGTTGGTTCATTCTGTCACACTGATGATCCCTTATAAAAATCTCCATGACTTGAAAAAAAATGGAAGGACTGCAGTCCCACTCTACATCTTGAGTTGATTTAAATGCTGTTACTATCTATCCTCTTCACTTCTTCACTCTGAATGGAGACATGAGAGACAGCAAGTGATTTCTTTCACAGCTACAAGCTTCTTTACCTGGCATTCAGAGGGCACTTGGTGCACTCATCCTAATCATCAAGCCCTCACATTGTTCTGAATTGACATCACAATCTTTTGGCCACTGAAAATTGAGAGCTTTATGCATAGATATGAGTATCCACACATCAGTCCATTTACTCCATTATTTATCTAATTCAGAGTCATGGGAGCCGTAATTGGACTTAAGACAGAAATGCTCTCACATACACATCTATGGTCAATTTAGAAAAATCACAAATTAGCGTAACAAGCATATCTTTGGAGAGTGGGAAGAAGCCGAAGACAGAGCACATGCAGGCACAGGGACAACATGCAAACTCAACACAGCAACGTCCAAGCTAGATTCAAACCCAAGACCTGCTGATGTAAGGCAACTGTCACATCTGCACTGAATAAAAAAGGAAAACCACTCCAATGCTCCAGCTCAGTCACTTTAGTCTGTTTTTCCTCCTCGTCGAGCAGAACAATCCTTTAGAAATCAAGTCAAACGCTTCACCTTTAAATACATTTGACTGATTAAATTAATCATTAATACACATTGTAAAGTTTATTTGTACAATTTCCTGAAGCCTGGTATCAGATCTAGGAAATAATATTTTATAGGTACACTTCTAGATGAGTTACCAGACCATTGGACAGTGTTTTGGAAAAATTATAGGAATAGAACTTTATGTAAGCTTCATATTTTTGTGATCAACATTTTTTGTTTGTTTTTTTAACATTAGTGACCAAATGCTAAATGAACACTCCTGTGATAAACCTTTAATACAGTAAAACTGACATTATCTTGAGGCGTTTGCCTTCAAAATGATTGGAAAGTCACGAACATGGTCAAGAGGTGCATTTATTTGTTTTACCCTCAGACTTTTATACAATCCAACTGATTTTGGGAGAGGACTCATCCACTCTGCCATTAGAAAGACTGCAGTTTTATGAAACTTCTCCATTGGCTTTATTTTTTAAACAGAATTTCTAAATCCATCTTTTGTGTTGAGTCTTTTCTATGAACCCAGCAGTTATTGAAGATCTCTGTAGGGAGAACCTGTTGTATGGGCGACCAACTCAGCTGCACTTATCAATTAATGGGCAGACAGAAGGTTGACAAGAAAAAGTATATAAAACCCACTCAAAGTCTGCCAAACATTATTTCAAGGACTCAAAACACAGACACACACACAAAGAACTATGCGCGTCAAGCACAGCATACTGGCAACATGTGTTATGGGGGCTTTTCTCTGTGGTAGGTACAGACAGATTGTTCAGAATTAAGAGACAAATACTGGAAGAAAACTAACTTTAAAAACATGCTCCAAAACAGCAAGGTTCACTCTTTATCACAACAGAGACAGGTCTCTGTTTCTACTTGTTAAGATGTGCATGGAATTAAATCCAGATATAAAACTAAAAAAGAAGAAGCAGGAGGACAGAAAAAGCACATCTTTTTAAGATTGATATGAAATCTACTATGAGGAGTCCGTAAGGATAAAGACAAACTAAATCCAACTAAGTTCTTAATCATTTAACAAACACAAAAGAGGGCTTAACAAAAAGCTAACAGGAGTGAGGAGAAGAACAGGATGATTTATACATATGAGAGTAATCAGGGAAATAGAGACAGCAGGGTAAGGAGACACAGCTGCATTTAATCAAGACCACTTGTTTGCAAAAGAGTGAGCCCCCTGGTGGGCTGCGAAGTTACTGTAGGTGGGCCACAGTACTAACAGGAATTCAGTTTAAAATGACTCACATGTACGTACAGTGAGATATTTATCTACTATTAATATATGTATTGATTGATATAAAACTTAAACAAAAACTGTTAAAATTTGTGATATTACTCATTACTCCGATTCTAAATTTGCTGCTGTTATATTGAGGTTTGTGTGTAGTAACAGATGGGTCACATAGTGGCCTGGGTAGCATTAGCAATTTATAGCCAACAGCCTGTGTTGTTTATGTTTTTTGAATAAAAAAGGCAAAACATCAGTTTCACTTGTCTTTTAATTAGAGTGAAGATTTAAGACTGGGTGGGCCGCTTGGGACTTTCTGGTTCTTGAGTGGCCCACAGCACTCTTGACTTTGGGGATGGCTGATCTAAACAATGGGACAGGAAGCAAAACACATAAAATTCAAAGAGAAATGATTGATAATACTGATTGCTTCTTTTATATCACATTTCTTCTCTGCTTGAGCACCCAAAGTGATTCATACTAAAAGCCATTTTCACTCATACAAATACTTTCTTCCATTCCCAAGTGTTTTCTATCTAACATTACCACTGTGATGAGAAACTAGGCATTCAGTGCTCGAGGATACTTGAGCAACACCTGTGGTAGGTACAGACTGGAACAGACTGGCATAGAACCACTAACCTTCTGATTAGTGACTCTACCTTCTGAGCCACGGCCACGCTGATACCAAATAAGGAAATGCTGAAACATCAAATTTACATACAGGATAATGCTCAAACTGAACAGAGGGCAAAGAATACTATAGAACTACTGAAAAAATCTGAACCTAACAAAAAGCAAAACTGTGAACAAAGAATTTTGAAGCATTTTGAACAGCTTGCAGGTGTCATATTAGATCACAGCCAACTTATAAAGACATGCAATAGTCTAAACGAGAGGAAATAAAAGTGTGTATTACTCTCAAAGTCATGTGGTAGGAGGAAGGCTCTGACCTTAGTGAGGAGCCTTAGTTGAAAGAAGTTTGTCTTAACTACAGAGCTAATCTGTTTATTAAATTTTAAAGCACGGTCAAAAATCACGATTCCTTGCAACTGGATGACAGAAA